GTTTTAAAAGTTCATCTTGTTGAGAGGGATTGAGATTTGGATTGATTCTCGACTTAATTTTGTCAAGAAGAGGTTGAATTTTAGATTCGTTAAGTTCAGATTCACTAGTTAGCATACACCGCGCAATTAGTGATTGTTGAGGAAAGTTTTTGAATTTTTGATTATCAGGGTGAATGTTAATTGTTGTTAGATTTGGATGATGATTGGAGGGAGGATTAATTGTTGAAGCCGAATGAGATGAGGAACTGGATTAGAATCCAAGATGTAATCAGAAGCATTACCAGTAACTTTAATAGAAGTTTCGATGATGAAGTCAGTTTCATCGGGAGTACAGAATCGGAAGTAAAATCGGGATTACAATTGGGAGAATTGGGTTTTCTTCACTGAAATGTTATATTCATTTCCATCTGAATTTAGTGTCATATAAAAAACATGAAGAAAAGCATTTCCTAATAAGAAGACAGGCTCAAATTTGTCACAAATTTGGAACTTGATGATTCTTGATTCATCCATTCCGTCATGCTTAAAGATAGCGTAAGAAAAACCAAAAGAGTCTACATAAACTCCGGATGCAATTCCTTTTAGAGTTCGATTTACTCGAATAACATGAGCTTGAAGGTAAGAAGCTAAACCAGCATCAATCACACAAGCAGAAGCGCCAGTATCAACTAGAACTTTACCTTCTTGAACTCGGGATTTATCGGGGAGACAGAGAGTGAGATTAACTTGGGGCATGTGGGCAATTGCGGTATTACCGAGTTGCGAGATTTGCTTGATATCCTTAGATATGGCAAATCCAACATTACCACGGAGTCCACTTTGCATTGGTTCGGGAGGAGAGGGAGGACGGTAATCAAACTGAATTGGGTTAGTAAGATTTTGGGGAACGGTAACCATTGTATTAATCGGTTGAGGAGGAAGTTGTACCTGAGGAGTTGGTTGATCTTGACCTACTAGGGTAGCGAGATTAGTTTGAGTAACGGTGGGATTGAATTGTTGACGAGGGTAATTCTGATCTTTTCTTTGGTAAGGGGGTTTAATTCCTGCAGCTTCTTGAGCTTTTCGGTAGGCTAATTTAGAGCAAACATCAATAGTGTGGTCATCACCTTTACAATAGTTGCAAAACTTTGCATCTTTAGGTGCGGATGATGAACTGTTTTGGCCTTTTATAATTAGAGTTAGAGTTAGAGTAATGGGGATTGTTAGTTTTTAACATTCGAGCAACTGAAGATTTTTCATTCGATTGATTTGAGTTGGGATTTTCGAGGGATTGATTTCTGAACTTTTGGCGATTTTGATTATTTTGTAATCAAAATGGATGCGAGTTAAATGATTATAAATTTTGTTTTATCATCATTTATGCCGAGAGTATAAATATCATCTCTGATATTTCGAGGATGTGTTGAGAACAAGATTGAGAAAGAGGAATCGTTGGTTGGACCAAACGCTTTGGTTACCAACCTTCGCATGTCTGAGAAGAATTTTTCAGGGTGAAATTCGGGATTGTAGCGACAATTTCTTAATTCGAAGTCCGCTGAATATTGGCTTTCAGGGTCTTTAGCTTTGAAGAGGGCATCAACGTATTCCTGGTAATTGGTAATATCGTCTAAACCAGTGGCACTTGTTTTTATCTCATGGGCCATAGACTTTTGGAGAAGTCGTAATCGGGTTTCGTCATCCACGTTTTCTTTGGATAAACGATCTTTAGTTTTGACCAACCATGAATAGGGGTCTTCACCAGAACGGAATTCGGGTACATGAGGATCCGTTTTCAACTGCTTCATTAACTCGAAGAAAGTTGAAGGTGTTAGATTGTCATTTGAATTGACAGATGGAGAGATTGATGGAGGTGATGGATCGGTAATATTTGCACCGAGTGAATTTAAAATGTTTTTTATTTTTAAGAGAACACCAAGAGAGAGAGGGAGAGCATAAAGTTCTGAGGAGAGATTGAAAATAATTTCGTTTTCTTCCAATGTTTTTATGAAATTTTGGATCTCTGGCTCAGAGAGATTTTGAATACGGAATTCAGTTAACCAATTTGGGAGGTTTTGGCTTTTTATTTCCTCAATAGGAAGAGATTGAATTTCTTCGGAAGTGAGATTTTCTCCAAGAAGAAGAAAATTAGTTGACACAATGTCAGTAAGTCGTTTCATGGCAAGAGAACGAATTGGAATTGAAATTCCAAAGACGGAAAAGTTCGAGAATCTCGTTGAATGTGAGATCTCTGAGAGATTTGGTTTGGAAATTATCGTAGAAACACGAGTGGGTGGTCGAGGGTTGACCGGGGTTTGAATATCATTAAAAGATGGAGGTGATGGGATGAGAGTTTCATCCTCAGAAAGTTCAGGTTCGGGTGTAGTAGTAACACGACGAGTAGCTTTCGCAGCTTTAGCAGCACGAGCAGCAGCAACACGAGTAATAGCAGCGATTCTTGAACGCTTAGGAGGCATTTTGATTGAAAGATGGATGGATGGATTAATTGAAATTAATTCAATAGAATTTTGGTTAAGAGTTAGATGGAAAGATGGATGGATGGATGGATGGAGATAATTCAGTAGAATTTTAATTGAAATTTAGATGGATGGATTTATTGAAATTTAGATGGATGGATTGAATTTAATTCCGTGGAATTTTTGATTGAGAGTTAGATGGATGGATGGATGGAGATAATTCAAAAGAATTTTGGATGAGCAGAAAAACACAAACACAAAACACTGGAAACAACGTTTTCACGCTGAGTAAATCAAAAGAATAAGCAAAGGGGAGAAATGAACACAATCCTGCCTGGGTCGCCAATTTGTGGGGGAAAATTTGAGATGATGAGGTTTAGATGATCACTTAGATCGATGGATTAAGATTGAGACGAAACTCAGATTGATTGAGATGAAACTCGGATGGATTGAGATGAAACTCAGATTAAGTCTTTAGGCTTGGAAGGGAAACAGAAGATTTTCGGTCCCACAAAATTTACCGAATACAAGATTCTTTTAGGATTGTGTCACTTCACTTTACTTACTGATCTATTGATCTCAATGTTAAGCACTTGCATTTAAACTCGATAATTCTTTAGAATTCAAGGTAACAATTAAACATTAACTGTTAAAGATTTAGATGGAACTTAATTGAAAATTTTTAATAAGAGTACGTTGTAGAGAAAATAAGATCAACTTGAATAGTTGGGAAAATCACAACGACTAAAGAACAAAGGGAAAATTTAGTTCTTTTAGAATAAAGAACAAAAATAAATTTAAAGGGAATCAATTAATGATGAGGAAGGTAACAATTAAATTGGGGGAACACAATTAAATCAAATTAACCAAATTAATCACATTAGTGATGAGGTTAAACAATTGTTACAAAGTAACTTTTTGTCTTATGTCTCGACAATGATGAAAAATATGGTTAACCGAAATGGTTAAGATAAAGATGAACTAAAGATGCTTGTAGCTTAACAATACATCTTCCAAAAACAAAAGAAAGTAAAAAGAAAGATAGAGAGAAAGAGAAAATCGGGTCTCTTACTTTTGTAACCAATTTTTGGTCATCTTAAGATGAAGAGATTTAGGTTAATACAATTAAGAAATTTCAGTTAATTATTTTAATTAACTTCATCTATAATTATATCTTGAGATATAGATTGAAATTTTGATTAATTATTATTAATTGTTGGGATATTATAATCTCTTAATTATTTAGATCAATTAATTAGGATTCTAATCAATTTGATTTGTTGAGGTTAACAATTAAGGAAATTATAACTATAGTTATGGAGGTTAACCAATTAACAATAGAAAGAAATTAATTAATTAAAAAATTGAAATGTCCTTCATCCAAAACAATTAGATGATTCATTTCATTTCATTTTCTTCGTTATTATATTGTTACAATTTATTAGAACGCAATCAACTAATCAACAGCAAAGCTAAGGAGTCAACCAGAATTACCATTTACCTTAATTTGGTTATAAAATTTGATTACAAGCGTCATTCAGATGCTGTTCAAGTCTTTTTGTATCAACCAAATCAAATTAAACTGTTAACTAAACGTTAATAACATAAATCATCATCATCATCAAACTAATTGTATATTTGATATGTTTTAAACGCCAACGACTTGTTAACTAATAATTACATTTATCACTATTATTATTGGATTCCATTAATTACTGTTCACAATACAATCATCAGAAGAATGATTAAAGGTCAACTAAATTAATCAGTCTTAGATAATTAACCTTCTCATAGAGTAAAATAAAACACAAGAAATAAACTCAATTTAATTAGAAACTTAATTAACCAACAGATGGAGACACAGAAACGAAAATGTAAAAGTGTCTTGAGTCGCCATCTCGGGTTACAATTAGTTACTAAGGACAATTAACGAGTTTGCGATTAATTCAAATCCTCTTATACAGAATTTTCTTTTCATCCATCAGGGCGATTTCACTGAATATCTCAAGAATCATAAGCTCATGAAAGTTGCCACAAAGTACGAAAAGTACTACAACTTTACTTTCTCGGGTTATTGTTTACTAAACTGAAAGAAAATTTTCCAATTCAAATTTCGGAGAAAAAAACTCAGAGCAGCCTCATGATTTCTTCTTAATTCTTGGTTATTATTATCACTTTCCTTTCAATTCCATGTAAATATTGATTCGTCTTGGTGATAATGATGATAATCGTCACGATAAATGATTCGATTGAACTTTTTCTTTTCGATTAATAAAGAGAAACCATAGAGAAAAATTCAAAGATGTTAACAATTGGAATAAGAAAACTAAATTAACTAATTAACTAATCCCAGTCTAATAAAAAAAAGAATTTTTTTTTACAATCTACTAATTGTTTGTTGATTTACTTTCAACAAGCATAATCCTTGTATTGTTATAATTGTTATTGTTTTTTTTATGATCATCTAAACTGATCCTTTTTATATTGTTAACTTGACCCAAACAATTAAATAGCCAAATCTTTATTTAATTTTGTTTCCGTTTAAAGTTTTCCTTGATTCTATGAAAAACATGGCGGGTGGTAAGAGATCGGATATTCCCAAAAAAGATGAGAATCCATGTTCACCTGAGGAAACGAAAATGTTGGACAAGAAAGGATTCAAGATCGGGGATAAGATCAACTTTGGAAGCTTCTCAAAAGTTTACAAGGCCAAATATCTCGACAAAGATATCGCTGTTAAAGTGATCGATTTAACTAAAACATCGTTCGAATATCGTCAAAAATTTTTACCTCGAGAACTTCACACTCTCCAGACACTTCGACATCCAAATATTGTCACAATTCACAAAATTATGACAATAAGCAACAAAATTTATATATTTATGGATTTGGCTGAAGGAGGTGACATTTTAGATCATCTAAAAGAGCATGGAGCTATTTCAGAGCCTCAGGCTAAATTGTGGTTCAAACAAGCTGCTGAAGCCCTCAGGTAATTATTTGTATTTTCCAATTGTTCAATATTTCCTCTTATGATTTTACTCCTTTGTATAACCTTCACTTAGATATATTCATGACCATGGAATAGCCCATCGGGATTTAAAATCAGAGAACATTTTATTAGATAAATGTAAGAATGCAAAATTAACGGATTTCGGCTTTTCTCGGGACTGTTTTGATCAAAGAACAGGTCGTGGTGTTTTATCCGAGACTTACTGTGGTTCCGCTGCCTATGTGGCCCCTGAAGTTTTACGATCGGTTCCTTATAATCCAAGATTATCGGATGTTTGGTCACTTGGTGTGGTTCTTTACGTTATGGTCAATAACGCACTTCCCTTTGATGATTCTGATCTTAACAAGATGATCACCTGTCAGATTAATAAAAGTTGGAATTTCAATTCTAAAGTAATGGATAAACTGTCACCTGATTTGAAAGATTTGATTCGTCAAATGCTAGAACCTGATGCCTCTAAAAGACTGACCATTGCCAAAGTACTTCGACATCCATGGTTAAGAGATTCGAGTGGAACTACCGGTATAAGTTTAGGTCCAAAAAAGTGAAACTATCAAATGTCTCTCTTTCCATGATATCAAATCCCGAAGTAAAATAATTGATAGAAATCAATTGAATTTGAATGATTCTCATAGATTTTCATTCACCTGATGGGAAAGACTTTAACCATTTCTTTTCATTATCCTGTTGTGCTATTGTTCCTGAAAATTAAACTTTAATTGTGATAAAATACTAATTGTTATTCATTATTTTCTCAGATTACGAAAAATTTTCACACTTTCACTTTTAAGCTCAAAGAATTTTCGTCAATTCTATTTACGAGTTTCATTCATTTTCTTGAATCTCTGGTGAAGATGATGATGTCGGTGTTGTTGTAGTGGTGATAATAGTCATAGTCAGTGAATATTTGGTGAATCAATTTGATTGTTCAAATCTACCAACAGTAATCAATTTATCTTCTCCATCAATTGGGCTTAAGTGTCTTGAGAATGGCCGAAACCTCCTAGGCAATGGCCTCGAGAACGAACTCAAATTGGGCCTTTGACTTGACGCTTCCTCCTCGTTGGTCTCTAATGTGTTCCAGTGTAGCAGCGATGTCAATCTCTTTGGTTCCTAAAAGAAACAAGTTGTTTTTAAGTGACTTTTAGTAATGGACGATCAGCGAATCTCAAATCGATCAAAAAGATCAATCGATCTTTGATCAAATTTCTCTAAAAGTTTTTAATCAATTTTAAATAGAAAAAAATTCGCGCCATTAAATGTGAAAGAGAAATTCTCTTACTTTTTTCTCTTTCTTTTTCTCCCTGTCTGGGATGATCGATCTTTTCGAAAAAAAGATCGATCAATTTCCGAAAAACATCGATTGCGATCGAGTGATTTACTCGGATCTCTACTCTTTGATTATAAGTTATAATTTATAACTGTTTTCACTTTTTTTTCTCTCTCTCTCTATCCAGGTAACAATTTAATTGTTACAATCATTTACTTGATCAACTGTGATTAGGTAAAAACACCAAGGCTGGAAAATGGGTGTACCCCTGAAGATAAAATCTCTGGATGGAACATTGGAATTGAATTTTCTTCTGTGTCAATCTCAACATGATAATTTTCTATCACCACCATGGGTTTGTTTTTTTTCTCTTCTATTTCTAAATCTCTTGTTCTTTTTGTCTCCATCTGATTAAACGTTACATCGTATTCCATTCTCTTTAATTTCTAATTCATTGGCCCATAATTCATAAGATTGCTGATCATTTATTCCTTTTTTAAATAATCAATTTTTCTATTCTTTTTAGAATCTTTTGTTTTCTAATGGGATCATATTGGATTAATGTCTCCATATTCTAACAAGTAGATGGATGGAATTTCCAATCAACCCATTATGAAGATGCAGGCGTTTTCTAACAATGAGTGTTGGCGTTGATCACTTTTTCCCCGCAGTTGAAAACACCTCACATGTGGATCGGAGATGAATAATTTTAATCCTGATCTATCTTTCCAATGGAAAATGGTTTTGAAGTAGAAACTGCAGTATCTCAACTTGCTCTTATAATGTCACTTGGTGTCCATCAAATTGGATATCTACATTAGTAAAGTTGAACTGGTTCTGGTCATTTATTAACAGCCGATTAAACTTTTCATTAACTCAATTTCGTTGGACACTTTATGCTAGTAGTAAGCGATTGAGCTGATTATCAACACAAATTTTTCTAGTATCATCTAGAAGCTAAAGAATCATTTTTTTTTTGTCGATATTGATCAATATTGTTTTGTCAAACTGTTTAACTGCTGATGTTAAGAAATCAACTATTAATGATTGGCTAGCACATGGGTGCGAGTAACTTACCTCTGTGACTATTATGATCCCCAGTTTTGCTCAGGTCGATACTTTTATCTGAACATGGAAACTGCTCTCTTTTTCACTCAACCTAATGGATCAGCGTTACAACAGCATAAATTTCTCGATATAAGATAAAAGACAATCAGATATTAAAGTGATCAAATATTAAGTAAAAGCAATCGATTTCGAGGAAAGATTTGACATCTCTGAATGTTTCGATAAACCTGAAGACTACACTTGGTTTCAAATCGTTTTCTCTGGTAAAAAAGATGACCTTGAATCTTGGAAAGATTAAGACGAAGTATTAAAAGCGATAACCAGAAAAGTTCTTTCATTTATTCCCGAGATTCGAATACCAGATATACAAGTTTCGTACCTTGGAAGTGTCGTTTACATTTCGTGTAAACTATTGGAAAGACCAAGTTATCAATACGATTTCTACAAGACTCCTGGTTTCACAGTCGAGAATCCGACCAAAGTTATCCAGCGAGATCACGATCAAGATTGTGGTGAAATTTGTTCCGAAGATGAATTTTGTACCAAATCTCGAATGTCGTTTATTCAGTTCAACAAAGGCAACAACTTATCCTTTCATCGAGGAATCAAAGATCTTACCCTACCCAAATTTCCGATGTTTCCCTTGAAAATTGCACTGGAAGCTGTATAACTACTGGTAATTTCAAATCACTTAATTATTGTGAAAATCAATCACAATCAGGAATGATTACCTCTAAATGTCGCCTTTCTTCAATTAAACCTGATGAAAAATCAAGTAAATCCTTATAAAGATCAATAGGAGAGATGATCAATCCATATTGCCACTCATGTTGGCCTGAACACAAGTAGGAGTTCATTAAGCGCACTTGATTGAGATTCCCACTGAGCCCCATGTTGATTAAGAAAAACTAATGAGAAAAGGATATTTTCAATCAGTGATTATTATCTTTCTCTGAAGTTTTTCTTTACAATAAATTTAGATCAATAAGTTTCCATTGATTGAATTCAACACCATTTAAATAATCAAACTCTCTTTCATTTAACTAACAAAAGTAAAAATCACAATCAAATCTATTAATAATAGCTAATTACTACCTAATAACTGATTGACCTCTAATATAATTGAGATTAATAATCGGATATAATCGGAATGATGGTCAGAGGAAAATATGAAAGAAAACACAATTATCATTGATTATTAATTGTTGATGTGATTTCTAATTTAGTTATTCAAATGATTTGATTGGTGGTGTAAATGTTATTGGAAATTAATTTAATCAATTTAAAGGTCCAAAGAAAAATTAGTGAAAAAACTTTGAAATGTTTATTTCCATGTTGATCATTAACATTATTACTCTTGTTTCGTTTTCTCTTAATTGTTTCCCTTAATTATTAATTAGCTAATTTCTCGTGTTATATTTTCTCTATAATTTTGTATTTCTCTTCGATTAGAACTTTGGATTATCCCGACCATGGAATAGAAGGAGAGAAACAATTTCCTCATATCGAAAATTGATCTAAATGTTGGTTATAAAGGTTCGATCGAAGAAGTTGTATTGCAATCTCATGAATTGGATTACGAATTTACTCAAGCAGAGGTGAACTAGACCGATTTTTGATGGAAGATAATCTTAGTGAATTCAGTGGGCATCGATTAACAATCATTTTCTTTTCATCACCCAAATTACTCAAAATTTGTGGTAATAAAAAACTATTTCATTCATTGGACACACCGTTCATCAGAGTCAATGAAAAGTCCAATAATCACTATACAATATTGCGTTGGAATATCTTATACAATATTCTGGCCAACATGTGTAATTTCATTAGCTCAATTTATCAATCGCTATACAAAATTGGAACCTTTTGGATTATTCAAGATTATCTGAATTGTTCAGGCTAAGCATGGAGCTTGAGTATTTGGATGGTCAAAAATCTCTCGGTAAAGAAAGTGTGTAAGTATTAATACATCGATACGATCAAATGTATTCCTGTGAAAATATTTTCCAATTTCCAAAAGTTAGGTCAATCTATGATCTCCGATCATCTCAGATATAACCTCCATACTGGGAACTGCACAATTAAAATATTGAGAACTAGTGAATACCCTTATATCAATGGGTACCTTTATCAGCAACCTTTTGGTATTCTAACATTTCAGAATTAGATGTTATAATATCTTGAAATAGTCAATTTTGACTTGACAATTATTATTAATATCTAATGTTTATAAAAAAAACTCATTTTCATCACAAAAATCAGCTGGATGTTTTTAACTGGCTCTTGTTTCACTCAAATAAATGAATTCAAATGAATCTTGATCTCTGGCTCGACTAATAGTAGTAACTTAGCTGAATCACCCTGTATAGAATCGTGGCTTGAGTCACTTTCTTTTACTCTTTGGTTGTTACTTTTTAGATTGACACTTGTTTTTGTCACTTGTTATTTTAATTTCCAATCTGATTTCCATGTCCATTCATTCAATGTTATCTGAGTTTCTCAAAGTCTAAGAATTGCAAATGAAAACAATCAAATTTCATTCTCATTCTGAATTACTATTTATATTTCTCCATATTCACTGTCAACTGGATGATTTTAAAATCTTCCAAAAAAAGTAATAAGAAAAAAAAAGTGATGATATAAAATTTTTCAGCAACAATGACATGGAATCGATGATTTCATGATAATAATCGAAAGTGTAATAACAAAAATCAATAAAATGAAATAATTTTGTAACATTACAAGAAAAAATTTTCATCACAATTTGTTCAATAATTTCGTTTTATTTTCACTAGACCAGCACTGGAATGAGAATGATTGTCATTTCTTTACGAAAGAAGAGATAATATTAAAAATCGAATTGAATAAGTCGAAAAGTGAATGATATTAATACAATGAGAATAAATATTCTCTCATCATCATAACATAGTTATGACATTCTATTCGCACGATAGCAAGTTCGTTACGACTCATTCTTTTCTCAGTTGTTATTCAATTCTAGTTACATCACATTACACCTTCTCTCTCTCTCTCTCTCTCTCATTTCTATCATGTTATTTTTCATCTTTTTCGAAAATTATAAGAATTTTTCTCATGTAGAGATTGAGCTTTTAAGTTGAATAATTTGAGATTGAAATGAAAAATGACTGAAGAAAGTGAGACAAGGAGAAAAGTTTTGATAGATTTGTCAAAAGTTGTATAAAGTAAAGTTTATTTTTCAATTTTTCGAATTTATTTCCAACCTCACCTGCAGTTTTCTCCCCAAGAATATCATATTATATAAATTTCTTGTTCTCATTTCTTGGTGAATTATTTTCTCCTTTTCTATTTTCCATTCTCTATGTTCTGGTATTTTCTCAATTCACTTTGTTGCTCAACTTTTTTCTCTGCTGAACCTTCAAAGGAATAACTCAATGAACCAGGATGTAACTTGTAATAATATCAGCGAGATTTTTCCAGGGAAGACATTTAAAAGTGACATGAGAATGACAGAGTAGATGAAAATTTAAAGTTAAAAGAATTTATTTCTTTTCTTTTTCTCTCTCTCTCCTTTTCTTCATCTCTTCCCTCCTTTGTATTCATGGAGAAAAACCCAAAGTATTACTAAGCTGATTTAAGCTTTGATTCTCAACTTTTTCTTATTCTCCTTCTAATAGTTAATTATATTAAAGTGATTCCGAAAAAATTTGTTCCACAATCTTGGAAACACTGAATCAGTTTCAGGGCAAAAGCTCAGGGCTTAAAACTTTTTCCGTGTAAATAATCAACTCTTATTCATTTGGGTTTTAATAAATCTCAATCATGAAGCGATGATTTTTACTTGCCTAACTTAACCATGAAATTACAGTTCATCTTAAATCTTGTTACATGGTAATTTCATCATGAAATCTAAAGGTGTTGAAGATGATAAAGAAAAAGAAAAGAAATTCATTGCAATTTCTTTCATCTTCAGTTGTCCCCATGAAGCTAAGAAATTATTTGTCAACACTTAGATAAATTACTAAAATGAATCGACAAATGTTCAAGTGAAAAAAAAAGTTTCGAAATGAATAAGGTCCAAATTGTCGTATCACATATATATGAGTTAGTTTTTTATAGAAGAAAATTCTGGTGATTCTATTTGAACAATTAAAGATTTGATTGATGTAACGTATTCATCACGAATGAACTATTCTTACCTCTTCCGTTTTCAACCGATAGTTGAAATATTAGAACTTATTAATATTTGTTATTATTTCACTCGAGTTAACCTTGAACTCGATAACTTGAAAATTCAAGTGATTCATTTCATCGACACATAATTGAAAAGTTTATTTAATAAATGGGAAAAAAAATGTGAACCACAAATAAGATGAATTCTGATGGTAAAGATTCAATTTTCATCATGCACATGATGAAATCTTTTGTTTTCTAGCTTCAAGTTCAGTTTCATATGTCAGTTTATAAGGTGAAATCAAGGGAGAAAAAAATATTTGCCAAGGAAATCATTTACTCTACAAACTCAATCCTCTCTCTCTCTCTCTCTCTCTCTCTCTCTCTCTCTCTCTCTCTCTCTCTTCATCTCTCATAAGCTAATAGTTTCTACTTCAAGTCTCAAGTTTCAATAAATCAGAAGCAGATTTTTTCATTCTTTCGGATTATTTGTTATGAAAAAATAACAAAGAACAAAAAATGAACCAGTTCTGAGGTTAGTAGGGAAAAAAGTTCACCCAAAAAAAAAACGTGCAACTTGAGGTTTGATTTGATGAATAATGTAGAAGAATATGAAAAAAAAATGATGAGGATCAAAGATGAAGATGGAGAAGATAAAAAGGTATAAACAAAAAAAACTGTTAACTCAAGATGATGATAAGAGTAAGAACTTCGGAAGCAAATTACGAGAAAGTTCAGAATAAGAACTGAACTTTATCTCGCAGATGAAAACACAAAGAAAAAGAAAAAAAAATTCATCAGAAAAGTTTTTTTTTCATTCTTCTTCTTTCATTGGTGACGATTGAATGATGAGAAGGGAGAAGATGATAACAAAGTATCTTCCTGGTTTCTTCTAGACAATTGCATGTGACAAACGATGCTGATGATTTAGCTCCATGGTGAGGATTCTTTTTTGTTCTCTTTCTCTCTCTATCATCTTTACTTTGTTCCATGTGATAAGTTATCTGAAGCAAGAAGAAAAAGTGATACGGAAAAAAAAGGAGAGAAATGAAAAGTATAAGAATCAAGTAGTGGAAAAGAACCGGAAACTGGTGACAGAAAAATATCTTAAATTCGAGTGAAATCTTCATATTGTATAGATTATCATCAATTTCGAATATCTTTTGGGTGAAGATCTTTTTTTTTATTTCTACTTGATCGTTTATTCTAACGAAAGTAGAGTATTCAAAAGAATAGATGAGAAAAAAAGTTCTAAAGAGTAAATGATTCATGGAACGAAGAAAGTTGAGATCTAAAGAGGAAGAAGAGCAAAAGGGAAATCGAAAAGGAAATGAAAGGAAGATAAACAGCTGAAGGGTCGAAATTGTTGAAAAGATGAAGATGATAATCATCATGAAATAGAAAAAAAGAACAAAATACAAATATTAAGTGAATTTACGAAAATAGCACAGATAAAGGCGAAGATTTATGAAAGAATCTGAAGTTTATCACCATGTAGTTGATTTCGAAATGAAATTAACAGTAAATTTTTATGATTTTCTAAAATCAATTGGACGATAAGAGAACTGAAAATAGCCTGATAAGTTCGAATGTCCAGTCAATCAAAAGAAGAAATCATTTCGAGCTTTATTAATCTCCTTAGGCTTTTATATTTTTTTTCTCTCATTTTATTAAACTTTCGATATCGAAAGTATCAAAATCATAAGGATCGTTATCCTCATAGTCTTTTGATTTCATTCTGGTCAATTGTTAGATGAAATTGTTGACCATTATAAGAGTTGAAAGTGATGATTTTTTTCTACCTCATCATTGATTTAACACTCGAGTAGATTTGATTTAATTCCAAGATCTTTTTTTAATGAATTAAGTGTAATCATTACAAATCCTCGAATCGACCACAACAGTTAGACAACAATATCGAACTGGAAATCAGGAAAATAAACTAAACAGTTCACTGGAAAGGTCCAAGCTTATTAACTGATTACCTGAGTCCAAGTTTATTTTGTCTCTTGTTTTGGATGTTGAAAGAAGCAAAAAAAAAGTTCTAATATCCTCTTATTAGAGCCAATTACTCAAAGTAAACTGGATCATCTTTTCAACTTTTTTCTTGCTTTTCAATAGATAATCAAAAGGACGACAAAGATGAACACGAACACGAACAAGGACATGGACATGAACTTTCCCAATGGACATTCGACATCAATGATTATTAGATATTAGATTTTGAAAAAGATTCAGTTGATTTCTGTTAACTTTCACTTCCGTTTCTAATCAGTCCACTTGGCTCACAATTTGTGTTCCATGACATTGAATTGAATTTTATTGAAACTTTGAGTGATCTCAATGACTCTTTTTCTATCTGATATTTACCTTTAGTTGGTCACAATTCGAACAATAGATTTTATAATATATTCTATGTATTGTATTGTTGTCGAATTTTATTGTATCGAAATCAATCAGAAAACGATCTTGACTTTGGTCAATTTTTAGGTTTGTAATCGTTTTTATCTCAAGTTTTATTTGAAATTTATCTGAATGTTCATCTTGAAATCGAGGAGAAAAAAGAAAAAGAATAT